ATTCTTGCGGATATCTTACAAGAGATTTAAAACCGGGAGGGACCCCGCCCCAGCAGCCCAGCCCCTCACCATCTGCAGGATCGCCCCGTACAGCCTCAGAAGCACCTTCCGGGGCTCGTCGCCGACCGTGGCCGTGGTCTCCGGCAGGGAGCACTCGAACAGCATGTTACTGAGGCCGCCCCTGTGGGAGACAGGACAGTGAGCACCCACGGGGAGGGACTGAGACGGGCGGGGGGTCCAGGACAGTGAGCACCCCGGGGAGGGGGCTGAGACGGGCGGGGGGTCCAGGACAGTGAGCACCCCACGGGGAGGGGACTGAGATGGTGGGGGGTCCAGGACAGTAAGCACCCCACGGGGAGGGACTGAGACGGGCGGGGGGTCCAGGACAGTGACACCCCACGGGGAGGGGCTGAGACGGGCGGGGGGTCCAGGACAGTGAGCATCCACGGGGAGGGGCTGAGACGGGCGGGAGGTCCAGGACAGTGAGCACCCACGGGGAGGGGCTGAGACGGGCGGGGGGTCCAGGACAGTGAGCACCCATGGGGAGGGGGCTGAGACGGGCGGGGGGTCCAGGACAGTGAGCACCCACGGGGAGAGGCTGAGACGGGCGGGGGGTCCAGGACAGTGAGCACCCACGGGGAGGGGGCTGAGACGGGCGGGGGGTCCAGGACAGTGAGCACCCACGGGGAGGGGGCTGAGACGGGCGGGGAGTCCAGGACAGTGAGCACCCACGGGGAGGGGCTGAGACGGGCGGGGGGTCCAGGACAGTGAGCACCCACGGGGAGGGGGCAGAGACGGGCGGGGAGACAGGACAGTGAGCACCCACGGGGAGGGGGCTGAGACGGGCGGGGGGTCCAGGACAGTGACACCCCACGGGGAGGGGACTGAGATGGTGGGGGGTCCAGGACAGTGAGCACCCCACGGGGAGGGGGCTGAGACGGGCGGGGAGACAGGACAGTGAGCACCCACGGGGAGGGACTGAGACGGGCGGGGGGTCCAGGACAGTGAGCACCCACGGGGAGGGGGCTGAGACGGGCGGGGAGACAGGACAGTGAGCATCCACGGGGAGGGACTGAGACGGGCGGGGGGTCCAGGACAGTGACACCCCACGGGGAGGGACTGAGACGGGCGGGGAGACAGGACAGTGAGCACCCCACGGGGAGGGACTGAGACGGGCGGGAGTCCAGGACAGTGAGCACCCACGGGGAGGGGGCTGAGACGGGCGGGGAGACAGGACAGTGAGCACCCACGGGGAGGGGGCTGAGACGGGCGGGGGGTCCAGGACAGTGACACCCCACGGGGAGGGGCTGAGACGGGCGGGGGGTCCAGGACAGTGAGCACCCACGGGGAGGGGGCTGAGACGGCGGGGGGTCCAGGACAGTGAGCACCCACGGGGAGGGGGCTGAGACGGGCGGGGAGACAGGACAGTGACACCCCACGGGGAGGGGCTGAGACGGCGGGGGGTCCAGGACAGTGAGCACCCACGGGGAGGGACTGAGACGGGCGGGGGGTCCAGGACAGTGAGCACCCACGGGGAGGGGGCTGAGACGGGCGGGAGTCCAGGCACCACGGGAACCGTTCTCCCTCAAGTCTCAGTCCCACCTCTCGGGATCCTTGAAACACAGATGATGACCTCCACAGCTTTCAGATGAATCCGAAAGTCACATTAAAAACGAACAACTTGCGGCACAGGGAGTTAAGCGCTGCTGGCAACACCGGCATCCCACACCAGAGCGCGGTTTCAGTCCCGCTCCTCCCCGTCTAACCCAGCTCCCAGCATGCATCTGGGAAGCAGTCTGGGAAGGCAGCAGATGCCCAGGTGCTGGGCCCCCGCCGCCCACGCGGGAGACCCAGTGGAGCGCCAGGCCCCTGGCTTCAGCCCTCCCCAACCCAAGCTGCTGTGGCCATTTGAAGTCAGTCAATCAGCCTTTCAAATAAATAAATCCAAATAAATTAAGTTTCTAAAGTGGACAATTTCCCAACCTTTTTCTGGAGCAGAACTGCTTGTGTGCACCTCCACGTGCCGTTCGCCTCCAGGACGAACGAGGACCACGCAGAAACTGCCCCGGCACTGGGCGGGGGGACGCAGCCTGCACATTCCTCTCCCAGAGCCCAACGCGCCAGCGTGTTCCCCGGTCCGCACGTTATCCTCTTGGCCATCCTGAAGCCTCTCCCCAGGGCTGGCCACCTGACTGGCAGCGCCAAGAGCTGGTAAAAACTTCACAACTGACTTGTCAACAGCCTTGTCGGAAAACCTGCAACACGAGTCGCCAGGGCGTTCAGCGCGCAGCAGACCTCGACCCGCAGCCAGACCCAACCCTGGCCACCGAGGCCAAAGAGCAGTCACAGGCCACCCAAGTGACAGCTTGGAGGCAAGTCACACCTGGGCTGGAGATGTCGAGGGGCCCAGGAGGGCCGGCTCACGCAGGCACGGGGCCAGGTAAGGGACATGGCACCGCACAGGCAGGGCCCACGTGGGAACCCCGCCCACCCGCCACCCTGAAGGCAGGACCACTGAGCAACGCCCGTGCCGGAAGCAAGGGCAACACAAAACCACAATGCGCGCCGGGCCCGGCCCTTCCGGAAACCGTCACTCCCACAGGGAAGACACACAGCCCGTAGGTGAGAGCCTCACAAACAGGGCAGAGCCTGCAGCTGCCAGCCAGTCCAGTGCACACCAGCCGTCAGGTCCTCCGGCGCCGAATGGCCTGGCAGCGTGCGCCAAAACCTTTTTCTTTTCTTTTTTTTGAGGAGCAAAGAACCATCACATCAGATTACAGCTTCCGGGACCAACCCCACACCCGGCCCCCTTCGCGGGAGCCACCAGCCTCCTTCCCTGTCCCACCCCGTGAACACTCCAGGCCCATCACGCCAGACTTCCAAAAGTGAGGCTAAAACAGAAGCAGCCAACGGGAGCTGCAGCCCGCTGCTGGGCGGCAGGCAAAGGAGCGGGATCGTTACCTGGAGGTCCGCAAAGGTCGCTGCGCCACCCTGAACACCCTGCTCGTCACTGACACACCCCTCCTCCTCCTTGGCAAGAAAGCCCTCATGCTGTCCAGGCAGCAGACCATCCTGACCTGCTGCCTTTTACGTGTGGCCGTGCGACCGAGTGCTGGCATAACAGAGGTCAGCTCAGAGGTCAGCCTTCAGGCCCTGAGAATCCCAGCCTCCCCTCGCTCCCCAGCCCAGCAATGGCGCTGCTTCCTGCTGTCCCCACTTCAGTCCTAACAGTGCGCCCTGTTCCGTTCTTCTGTCCGCCACCTGGTCACCCAATTCCCCACTCAAATTCTCTGTGATGAAACACCTGGCGCCTCGGCCAGACCTCAGGCCCGTCACGGAATGACACGGCGGTCAGCTGAGAGGAGCCGGGACCAGCATCCGGCCCAGGAAGCTGCCGTACCGCGTGGGCCTGGCCACTTCCCCCACTGCTTTTTATTTTATTAAGATTTTATTTATTTATTTGAGGGGTAAAGTTACAGAGAGAAATGTCTTCCATCTGCTGGTTTACCCCAGAAATGGTTTACCCCGCCATGGCCAGAGCTAGGCCCATCCAGAGCCAGGAGCCAGGAGCTTCCTCTGGGTCTCCCACGCGGGTGCTGGGACCCAGGGACTTGGGCCACCTTCCACTGCTTTCTCAGGCCACAGCAGAGGCTGGATCAGAAGTGGAGCAGCCGGGACTCGAACCAGCACCCATATGGGACGCCAACACTGCAGGCAGAGGCTTTACCCGCTACGCCACAGCAGCGGCCCCCAGAGTTCCTTGCCGCTCGTCACCACGTGTCTCTCAGCCTGGAAGCACCTCTGAACTGTGGTGTCTACACCACCTGCTCTTTGACAGCGACTTCAAAGTCCAGCCCCTTCCATGACACTGTCACCATTCTGAGTGTTCCCTTTAAGGAGGGGCATGGCCGAACACTCAGCTCTCAGGGCCCACAGCCCCCAGCGCTGCAAGGCTCAACAAACCTGTTCTAAAAATAAGGCTACTCAACACCACTTCTGGCCACGGACTCCTATCTTCTCAGCCCCGTACCCCGCTCTCCGACAGCTCGGCTCCCTCGGGGGCAGGCCCTCTCTCCTGGGGCCGGCATCCTGAGACAGTAAGCCATGGCTAAGCCCCGGCTCTGCCGCTCACGGGCCGTGCGATCCTGGACATGCCACTAACCCTCTGCTCTTGGAACTCGCTGCCCTGGAGCCCTGGAGCCCTGGAGCCCTGGGCTGCAGCGCCCCAGGTACTGGACCGGTCAGCTCAGCTCAGCTCAGCTCAGCGGCATCAGCCTGCAGGGTGGAGGCTGGTGTCACCTCCACTTTACAGATGAGGAAACAGAAACACAGGAGCAGGTGAGCCAGCATTCGGGTCCTTCCCGCGCTGCCCCAGACAGATGAGGCAAGGCAGGAGCCCCCCTCTGCCACGCTGGCCGTAGCCAGGTGCCGTGAGAGCTGCGCGCCCAGCCAGCGAAGAGCCTGCCCCAGGACTGCTCCACACGCAGTCCTGCAAACTCGGCGGCCTACGGCAACATTATTATCCTCAGTCCCCAAGTGCACAAGACTGAACACAGGCCTTCCGCGGCTCAAATCACAATGCTGACGGCAGGGCAGCAGATCAAAAATAGGCATTGACACCACATTCCAGGAAACACGCAGAAAACAACTGAGGACAGATGCGACCAAGCTCACGGGTCTCAGAGAACAAGGGATGCCGGGCAGCAGAGGAGGAGCCAGTGCCGACAGGGCAGGAGCGCTCCGGGGACGGGCGCAGGCAGCACAGCAACGCGGGGCACTGAACACGGGGAAGGGCGCGACTGCAGCCGTGTGTTCCACCACAATCCTAGTGGAAAAGAACGGAGTCCTGACACACGCTGTAACACGGACGGTGCACCAAACCAGCCAGGCATGAGAGACCACACACCATGTGATTCCATTCACAAGAAATATCCGGAACAGGAGAGTGATGGAGACGGAAAGTCGACGAGAGGCCGCCAGGGGCCAGGGTGGGAGCGGGCGGTGACAGCATCTTTCCGAGATGACAGGACTGTTCTGGGGCTGGTGCAAAGCCGCTGCCTGCAGTGCAGGCATCCCATGTGGGCACTGGTTCAAGTCCCGGCTGCTCCTCCTCCCATCCAGCTCTCTGCTGTGGCCTGGGAAAGCAGCGGAGGATGCCCAAGTGCTTGGGCCCCTGCACGC